TTTGTGCGTGTGCGTGTGCGTGTGCGTGTGCGTGTGCGTGTGCGTGTGCGTGTGCGTGTGCGTGTGCGTGTGGTGTGCGTGTGCGTGTGCGGGTGCGTGTGCGTGTGCGTGTGCGTGTGCGTGTGCGTGTGCGTGTGCGTGTGCGTGTGCGTGTGCGTGTGCGTGTGCGTGTGCGTGTGCGTGTGCGTGTGCGTGTGCGTGTGCGTGTGCGTGTGCGTGAGTGCGTGTGCGTGTGCGTGTGCGTGTGCGTGTGCGTGTGCGTGTGCGTGTGCGTGTGCGTGTGCGTGTGCGTGTGCGTGTGCGTGTGCGTGTGCGTGTGCGTGTGCGTGTGCGTGTGCGTGTGCGTGTGCGTGTGGGTGTGGGTGTGGGTGTGGGTGTGGGTGTGGGTGTGGGTGTGGGTGTGGGTGTGGGTGTGGGTGTGGGTGTGGGTGTGGGTGTGGGTGTGGGTGTGGGTGTGGGTGTGGGTGTGGTGTGTGTGTGTCTGTGTCTGTGTCTGTGTGTCTGGTGTGTGTCTGTGTCTGTGTCTGTGTCTGTGTCTGTGTCTGTGTCTGTGTCTGTGTCTGTGTCTGTGTCTGTGTCTGTGTCTGTGTCTGTGTCTGTGTCTGTGTCTGTGTCTGTGTCTGTGTCTGTGTCTGTGTCTGTGTCTGTGTCTGTGTCTGTGTCTGTGTCTGTGTCTGTGTCTGTGTCTGTGTCTGTGTCTGTGTCTGTGTCTGTGTCTGTGTCTGTGTCTGTGTCTGTGTCTGTGTCTGTGTCTGTGTCTGTGTCTGTGTCTGTGTCTGTGTCTGTGTCTGTGTCTGTGTCTGTGTCTGTGTCTGTGTCTGTGTCTGTGTCTGTGTCTGTGTGTCTGTGTCTGTGTCTGTGTCTGTGTCTGTGTCTGTGTCTGTGTCTGTGTCTGTGTCTGTGTCTGTGTCTGTGTCTGTGTCTGTGTCTGTGTGTCTGTGTCTGTGTCTGTGTCTGTGTCTGTGTCTGTGTCTGTGTCTGTGTCTGTGTCTGTGTCTGTGTCTGTGTCTGTGTCTGTGTCTGTGTCTGTGTCTGTGTCTGTGTCTGTGTCTGTGTCTGTGTCTGTGTCTGTGTCTGTGTCTGTGTCTGTGTCTGTGTCTGTGTCTGTGTCTGTGTCTGTGTCTGTGTCTGTGTCTGTGTCTGTGTCTGTGTCTGTGTCTGTGTCTGTGTCTGTGTCTGTGTCTGTGTCTGTGTCTGTGTCTGTGTCTGTGTCTGTGTCTGTGTCTGTGTCTGTGTCTGTGTCTGTGTCTGTGTCTGTGTCTGTGTCTGTGTCTGTGTCTGTGTCTGTGTCTGTGTCTGTGTCTGTGTCTGTGTCTGTGTCTGTGTCTGTGTCTGTGTCTGTGTCTGTGTCTGTGTCTGTGTCTGTGTCTGTGTCTGTGTCTGTGTCTGTGTCTGTGTCTGTGTCTGTGTCTGTGTCTGTGTCTGTGTCTGTGTCTGTGTCTGTGTCTGTGTCTGTGTCTGTGTCTGTGTCTGTGTCTGTGTCTGTGTCTGTGTCTGTGTCTGTGTCTGTGTCTGTGTCTGTGTCTGTGTCTGTGTCTGTGTCTGTGTCTGTGTCTGTGTCTGTGTCTGTGTCTGTGTCTGTGTCTGTGTCTGTGTCTGTGTCTGTGTCTGTGTCTGTGTCTGTGTCTGTGTCTTGTCTGTCTGTGTGTGTCCGTCTGTGTGTGTGTGTGTCTGTCTGTGTGTGTGTGTGTGTGTCTGTCTGTGTGTGTGTCTGTCTGTGTGTGTGTGTGTCTGTCTGTGTGTGTGTCTGTCTGTGTGTGTGTGTCTGTCTGTGTGTGTATCTGTCTGTGTGTGTCTGTCTGTGTGTGTCTGTCTGTGTGTGTCTGTCTGTGTGTGTCTGTCTGTGTGTGTCTGTCTGGGTCTGTCTGTGTCTGTGTCTGTGTCTGTGTGTGTCTGTCTCTGTGTCTGTGTCTGTGTCTGTGCGCCTGTCTTTGGAAGTTGGTTTCAAGCGAATCCAAAACGAGCGCCATCATTGTTTGGCCCGGGAGCGCGGGGCCAATGACGAGCCACACCGCCCAAGTTGAAACCTTGCCCAGGCCAATCTGCCCAATCCCCTGAAAACCAAAACCGCCCAAACCCCAAACCCACCCCAAATCCCTAAAACCCCCCAAAATCCCTAAAACCCCCCAACACCCCCCCCCCCCCGCCAAACCCTCAAAACCCCCGAATCGCTCCAGCAGACGCGGGTGAAAAAACCGGGCCAGCGACTTTCCGTTTGCCAGGGCGCAGGTTCACTGCGAAGGCCGTCAAGATGGCACCAGGCAGCATGAAGACCGCCTTGCGTTTTTGCGTTTGTCTTTGGTTGGTTGGTGTTGTTGTGTCTTTGTCTTTGCTTTGTTTGTTGGGCTGCGTTTTGCTGCATGGTTTTGCTTTTGTCTTCGCTTGGCTTGTTTTGTTGTGTCTTTGTCTTTGCTTTGAAAGTTGGGCTGCGTTTTGCTGCGTGGTTTTGCTTTTGTCTTTGGTTGGCTTGTTTTGTTGTGTCTTTGTCTTTGCTTTGTTTGTTGGGCTGTGTTTTGCTGCGTTCTTTTTGCTTTTGTCTTTGGTTCGGTTGTTTTGTTGTGTCTTTGTCTTTGCTTTGTTTGTTGGGCTGTGTTTTGCTGCGTTATTTTTGCTTTTGTCTTTGGTTGGTTGGTTTTGTTCTGTCTTTGTTTGGCTTTTGGTGTGATTGATCGTGGTGTTTTCTTCCAATTGATGATCAGTGGATGTGTTGCTGTTGCATTTGTATGTAAAGTTGTTTGCTTCTCTGTTTGTTGGCTTGCTTGATCGGGGTGGGATTTTTGAATTGCGAAGCTCCTGCGGGCCATATCCCGAGTCCCAAAACGTGGCAAATAAGGCAATTTGTGTGTGATGAGATCCTTTTCGAGACATGGTACCGATGCCAGGAAGAAGGGACTCCCTATCAAGTGCGACGTTAGGAGGGATCCAGCAAGCCGACGCATCGCTTCGAGCAGGCGGACTGCCAAGCGCATCCGCGCGCATCCGATTTGCAACCAGTGCGGAGAACTAGGCGACGGGGAGGGAAACTGCAAAGCATGTTCTTTAAGGCAGAACTCGATTTCTGGGTTACCCTGAGGACTTAAACACAGGAGTTCCGCGTTGCACAACGGCATCTTCTACCTTCGCTGGTCTATCGATGATCTTTTCACTGGCAAATGGCAAGCCCAAGCCCCCAATGGATCACTGTGCGAGATGGGCTTGAATTGGGCCAATTGAGCGCCCGTTTCGTCCCTTGACTTTTGGTTCTACCAACATCGTTACCAAGGTTTATTTACCAACCTAGTTCATCAAGCGAAAATAAGGGACCCCTTCTTCATAGAAGCCTTCACCTGTGGCGTGGCTTCCCACTTTCTACAAGAGGCAACATTAGCCCCCAGTTCCCGCCAATCCAAACCACCAATTACGGAGAAGCTGACCTGACTGCCAAACTCCAAACTCCGAGCGAAAATAGAAGTCAAAGCGTTTCTTCCCAGATGAGATCGTGAAACAGCTGCGGGAAGCTGATTCCAGAGACCCCGGCCAAAGGGTTATTCCTGTTTTGCGTTGACAATTTTAGTGGGGAAGCCAAGGGGGAGCCACCAAACAATTTTGCAAACATGCGCCCGCACCGTCACCAGCACCTCAAGCAGCCCAAACAGCATCCCAAAACAGCACCCGCCGTCAATCTCACAAACACGTGCCCGCACCCGTCAGAAGAAACAGGTTTGTGCCGCTAACAAACATGGCCATAGCTGGTCATAAACCAGAACCCATCAAAAGGACCAACCAGTGGAACCCACCTAGTTTCTAGCCACAACCGATCAATTGGACCCCTGCCATCTGGCTTCACCAACGTCACCTTGCGTTGCAACTTCATGACATTAGAAATTAGAGGTTTTGTTTAAAAGCTTCAGTAAACAAATGCCACTAAATAAAGCTTCAGCTTCAGTAGATTTTGTTTAAAAATAATTTACAGCATTTGCTTGTATTTTTCGCCAGGCCGCCGGCACCAAGAAGTAGGCCTTGCTCCCGATCTGCTGCGCCATCAAGTCCGCGACCTGAAACCACCAACGCGGGGTGGACATGTCTGGCGGGTTGGTTGGGCGCCTCCGTTGACATGGGTTGCAAAAAAATGTGTTTCTTGTCTTTTTTCGTGCAGGGTACCCGGTTCCCTTTTTGGGATGGTTCTAAAGGGAAATCAAAGAACGAACGCATTGTTTTTTCTCCATTATGTATCTCTCTGTGTTCTTCTTCTTTTCTTTTCTTTTTTTTGGGGGGGGCGGGTTCCCTCAAACAAACACAAACCCAAATAGGCTCTACCAGATTTCTTCTGCTGCACAAATGCTTGTCCTTGCAAGGGATCGGGATCCGGTTGTTGGAGCCGGGTGATGACCACTACTGGCTTCACCACTTAGACTTACCCTTCAATGATTTCAGCACCACTCCGGGTAAGCAATCCACAGCAAACACCCAACTAGGTCCTCCAGTAGAGCGGCTAGAATAAGGGTACCTTTCTTCTGTAGTTTATTTTAGCAGGGGAACCCTCCCCCAAGAAAGAAATGGTAAAAGGGCACTACTGGAGGACCTAGCAATTCCTTCTCCATATGCGAAATCCGAATCTCCATGGAGTGCGGCTTTGGGGAAATCCAGGTTGGCGCCCTAGAATCGTGGCCCTTTTGGTAGCCTGCCTGACAAGGGACAAGTGCACAACCGATCCCAAATCCCCCAGCCAAAAAAAACTGCCACTTGGATTTGCTAGGTACTTGGATGAGCATTTCATGTAGCAATTCTTAACAGCCCCAAAAGTGGGTTGCACCTAGGATTGCTTTTTTGCAAAGAGAGCTATTCACCGCTTGCCCACTAAGTGAAGTGGGGTGATCATTCACATTCAAGCATTCAAACAAACCCCCCTCCACCGGTTGTATTCTAGGGGGGCCTCACAAAAGGCGCCCGCTGTAGGACTTTCTTCTTCGTGATTCACCCTTGCAAAGGACCCCGGCATCCATAGGATCCAAGGAACATGGTATGAAACCACTAGCCGCCGGATACGCCGACAGAACTTTGCGGGCCCTAGCTGTCAAAACGCGAAAGATTGCCAGTTCTCTTCCAAGCCAACAGTGAAAACAAACCGTCACGTCCTCGTGGAAGACCACAATCATGGCCTCTGAGGGGGTGGTTGATGCTTGAAATTGTGTCTATTCCCAGAAAACACTGCCGCTGTTACATCCTGCAAACTGATTCAGCACCTCGGAGTCTTGGCACATGAGTCTTTCATTGGCCTGGTGGGCCCCCCATCTTGTACCACGCTTACAAGCATACACACTGTTGCTGCTGGTGCATTTACATGTGCTCAAGCTAGCGCAAAACCTGAAGCATGACAGAATAATGCGAAGCAACACTCAAACGCGTGACGATCATTTGGTCAAACTGTGTAAACTGGCCCTCTTTGTAAATCAACCCCAGCAAAATGGCCCTCCTTTTGAAAGAGTATTGACCCCCTTTCCTGTCCAATCATTCTTCCCAGGACAATTCCGTTGCCCCAGAGTGTGTCAAATGCGCTTGCTTTCTGAGGCTACCCGTTTCAGGCTGCTTTGAAGGGGAAAACGGCTTCATGATGGTGACAAGCCAAATGGATGCCACTTTTCCAGGTGTTTGATCCCAACATGACACACATACCCAAACGAATGCGCCACTTTCCACCCACCGGGTTTTGGGTTCCACCGGACACGCGCCTTGGAGCCCAGCACGGTGCCCCCGATGCCGCTGAGCACGCAGGAGGCGCTGAGGGTCAGACCCGCGTAGGCCTGAGTGAGTGAGTGATTGAGTCAGTGAGTGGGTGAGGACGTGAGGGAGGAAGGGAGTGGTGGCTTGCCTTGGTTGTGATTTGTTCTAGTTCCAGTGGTAACTGAAAGTAGTGGAGCCGCTTTGATCTCTAAACATGCATCGGTGGAGCGAAAAACCAAGAGTGGAACATCACCTTGATGAGAGAGACATTCTCACAGCCCGGAAGCTGGTTCTCAGATTCCGGGTCGAGTTGGAATGGTTCAGGGAACCGGCAAGGGACCAGCATAGTCTGGTGAAACTTGATCATCTTTTGGAAAGTCCCCTTGTCTTGATAATTTTCATCAAATTTTAGATGGTTCCGAGTTCCGGAGGGGGCTGAGATCCGCCCTGCATCAATCCGCGCCAAGTCCGCATTCGCCAGCCAAACTGTCAGTTTAGTGTAGGTGTTGCTTGAGGGGGGGTATCGTTGGCGCTCGCCCTTGCGCTCCCTGTGTCCTGCGGTTTTCACTATTGCAAAGGACAAAAGTGAGGAAAGGGCACTGTATGGACAGATAGGCCCGCAAAGAAGAAGGACGGCAACTGTTTGCGACTATTTTGAAATACCCCGAGGGTCCCGTGGCTCATCAGAAAAGCAAGAACAGGGGCAACACCTGGGTGTCAAATGGCGGAGAAATATAGTAAAATAGCCATGTTGTATCCCTCAGGGGTTGAAATTATGGCCGCAGCAAGTGTGTACTTACTTGGTGGGCGAAGGCCAGGGGCCGTTTGGCAACGTCGGGACACTTTTGCCCTACCAAGTTCCTTTCCTTGCTGAGTAGAACCCCCTTTCTCTCCCAGGTGGCAGCACAGGTCTCCCCCGGCCATTCGCGTCGATACGAAAACTGCGAGCCAACTCCATGTGTGGTTTCGTCCCTTGGGAAGAAAGGAATACTTCCAGTGCTAGATTCCCGGAGAACACACAATCTGTGGAAGGACGTGTAAATATTAACGAACAATGGTTTCCCATGGTTTCAAAGTGGTGCAGGATTTTGGCCATCCACGGCATGTTTTGAGCCATTGGAAGCAAGCCGGGCCTGCTTCATGCCGGCGTAGCGCTGCAAGAAGGTGGGGTACCACTCAGAGAGGCCGCCTGTGGCGAACTTCCCATTGAAGTTGTTTGCAAAAAAGAGAGGCACACTGCCCTACAACTGAACGGAAGGAACCCAAAGGGGATCCATTTCCCTAAAGGAGTTGCCTGTATGGTGGCTTTTTGGATTCCATGTTTACCTGGAGGGGGGTAAACAGGTTCGTTACCAATAAACTGGCCTGAAACAGGTGCAACTTATCCAGGCGCGGGAGCGAGTTTTGCAAGCCAGCATACGAGGGAAACCTATCATTTGTTAAAACCCGTTCACATGGGGGATATCCCCAAAAAGTGCTTGAACTACGGGGGATATCCCCATTCACTTCCGGGGTGTGCGGGGGAATATGCTCACAGTGGCAAACCCGTGTGGGAAACACACATCTTTGCAATTCAAGCTTCACCTTCCGTTTGGTTTTTCACTTCAGAAAAAGCCTTGGAGGGAACAAATCCCGTATTTTTTGGCAGGTGCTTGGCCAACTTCCCGACAGTCCTGTCGCTGGTTTCTATGAGAACCTGGGCAACTGGCTGTTTTTGTTCACATGTTGCACCCAACCCATCGCTCAGCGCTCGATCGACTTTGCCTATGGCGAATTGGATGGCCACCGTGCCCGCGGTGGCCAACGCAAAGTGGGGGTTGGACAAAAGCTCCATCTCCTCATGTAGACCTCGCGACGACCCCACAGTCGCAAGGCGCGCAAGCTAAGCCTGTTCTGCACGAATTACTCACCTGCCTGGGTGTGAATATTGATACAGGGCCTTTGGTGGATATCCGAATTCAGTGGGGGTTCAGATAACCACCAATCGCTTAGGCGGCGGTTCCCCCTTGAAATTCATAGCCTGAGATCAAGGAATCCCTAAAAGCCTTCGTGTAACCAAGGCTCGCAAGGAAGAATGGCGGATGCTTTAGTTCGTCGCTTGAAGGGTATAGGTCCTATTTTTAACTCACTTCCTGAGTGGATTGGCCAGAAAAGTAAGCAAACTTGTTTGCCACTAAAATGGTCTCACAGAGCTTAAAGTCCAGGAACTCAGGAAGTCAGGAAGTAGGTTTCCCTTCTGGGCTAGTTGCCACTACCCCCAAATCGAAGCTACCCGGACAAGTCATGGAACATGCACCTGAGAAGCCACTATGTGAAGGGTATCTACACTGAGACCCTCACCGACATTCATCATGCGGTATCAAGCGGGACTGTCCTGAATGGCTCTTTAGCAATTCTCCAGGCGATTGCCATCGATATCCAACATCCTGCACGTTCCGAGAAGGACAACAAGAGGACTTCCGTGCAACCGCATACCGGCGCGGGCATCAGCCTATGGGGTAAGGGTCTATATTTGGATTACGCGCTATTTGGAGTGCGACTCTTCACAAGCACGAATACTTCAGCAAACAAAAACCAGAACGAAATCATATATATACATATGTCTATGCGTATCCGGCGCATTTCATTTCAAGCATCGGAGGCCCACATGAAATTCCGCCAAGGCACCCCCTTCTGCCACGCCAGATCCTTTAGAGTTTCCACAAGCAATCAGCCAATCGAACCTGGCTTTCACTACCCCTGAGCTTGTGTGGTGTCTGGTTCCCGATATAATAGGCAGTGTTCATGATTAGCTATAACCAAACACCGCGAGGCTACCACGAGCTCACATGGCTTCCATTGCTCCATACTTCAGCCTTTGATTCTGACCCCTTTCTAACTTCCCATCGGGTGGATTCTACCGGTACCACGCTGTCTGGTAAGCCTGCAGCACGCCTTTACTCTTCATTTGTTCCGCGAGCTTCCACGCAGGATCCCTCACATGCCCCCTCACACATTATGCCAAAGCAAAAGGTAACTGTTCAAACCACCAAGCACCTGAGGGGGAAAGGGCCGGCTATTCAGGAGAAAGAATCAGCCCGAGAATGGAGCCGGACCGTCTGAGGAATCTGCAGCGGGAGTAGCGCGGGGAGCGAATGGCGCCAAGCCTTGTTTCTTCTCAAGCCGCCTGTGCAGCTGACTAGGGGGTCGTGGCCAATTGTCTGGCTCGGCTACAAGCAAAAGGGCCCTTCAGCTGCGGAAGGGACATGTCTGCAGTCTGGACAATCTACATGCATGGCATCAACTGATGAGCCTCTAAATGCCCGTGTTGCATGGGCACAAAATCATTCTCAGTTGATGACGTGATTGGCTTACTTCGGGATCGGGCCGTTGAGGTAGACGAGGGATTCTGCAGGGTCTGCAGCGCTGACTTGCCCGCCTTGGCATTCTTGCGAGCGCTCTGGAAGCTGGGGTCGAAGGCTATAGACCACACAGAGGTCTTCAGAAACTGCAGTAACCCGGCTCTGCATGATGGTGCCTTCTTGGTCAAGGCATCGCCCAAGTCATAGTCCGAGGCAGTCCAGCGAAGCTCGGTGTGGGTGCGTTCCAAACTTTCTCTCACTTGAAAGGCTTGAAGCGCTGCTCTCATGTTGGAGAGCCCAAGCATCGGAGACTCATGGCGAGTCACAGCATCGTATCCGCCTCGGGAGTCTGTAGTGACCACGCCCTTGACAAGCTTGACCACCTCTTCGCCGGCAGAGACCTTGTCGTTGTCGCGGTGCTGGTGGATGGACTGGCCATGAAGTTCGCACCAAAGAAGTCGCATCCGAAAGTTGTTGTCCTCGGATTCGACCATGGCTTGTACCTCAGCGTCGTTCGAGCTGATGGCCTTGCGTTTGAGTTTCCAGCATCGCCAGGTCAAAAGACACATCTTGGTGGGTGCGCCAGTGATTGCTCGTGGGCCGGAAGCAACGGTGATCATGCCGCCAGTGCTATCTCCTTGAGGTCGGTTGGCGTGAGCTTGGTCGCCCATGGTGATGAACACGACGTCGGTCCAAGATTGGACTCCAGGCAGCTTGAAGAATTCCAGCTTGACGGGATTCCTGCGGACCTCACACACCATTTGTTGAATTTCTCTTGCAACGGAGGTCGAAGGAGTCACGGTCACCTCGGTGAGCAGGAGATTGCATCTCGCACTGAGCTGTGGTTGAGTTTGTACCGCAACCCACTGCAGGGCTCCCAGGGTAGCTCGGCAGTGTCCAACTTCGGTGGAATCCAGAACGGCGTCAACTTGACGAAGGCGTTCGGGAGGGATGTTCACGTCCTGGAGGGACTCGATGTAGTACTGTTGGTCGACGGTGATCGTGGTGTCACCGCTTTCATCTTTGCCAATGACGAGGTCGGTGCCAGCGTGGCGATATTCTCCACGCTTGATGGTACCCCAAACGTAGGCACGGTCAACCTGCTGACAGACCTCATTCCATTCAGGGTTGGCCTTGTCTCCGGTCCGGTGGAAATCATCTACATGGCCACCCATGGCACCAATGACGAGAGGTCGGCCTTGTTGGTCTTTCTGATGTTGCGAAAGCCATACCCACATGCATCTCTCCGAAGTCAGGGAGATGCCACCAAGACGTTTGAAGGTTGCATGGAGGTCCTGCCAAAGTCCACGGGGTGCAGTGGTGGAGCCGTACACGTTCTTCAGGATGCGAATGATGCCTTCGGAACCGACGCCTAGGGCTTCTCGAAGCTCTTCAGTTCCGTAGGTCCAGAGTTTCTTATCCTCCTCGGTCTTCTGGGTCTGCAAGAATGCCGTGGCAAGGTCAAGACCTTCAAGTTCCCAACCATGCTGGCAAGTCATGAGGTACAGGAGGTTCCTCCCGAGGTTGGTTTGAACCGGACTCGAGGTGCGGAAGGAAGGGTCCAGAAGATCGGGGTGTTCAAATCCGAGCACCACGATGCGGGCCTTTGCTTTCTTGCGGCCATCAGGTGTGACCATGGTCTGCGCGTTGGACTTGGCATCTCGGAGGGCTTCTGGATGTTCCTCATCTGGAACCAGTTTCCACGTGAGGACCCAGCGAGCACGCATGATGCGTCCAGAGTTGTAGGCCTCCTGGATCTCCTTGTGATCCAGGCACTTGCGAACTGCTTCATTTTTGAGGAAGCTGCTGACTTCCTTGGCCTTGGCACGGTGGAACAACTCGCGGAGTTGTGGTGTGAGCTTCTTGAGGTTGACTTCGCTGCTCCGCATCTGCTTGACGAGGAACAGGTGAGGATCGCGAATGAAGTTCTTCTTCTCACGGTTACTGGTAAACTCCAGGTTGAACTCCATCACCATCACTTGCTCGGTGTCCATGAGAGCTGTGTGAAGGTCGATGGTCTCCTCCTGCAAGGATTGAATCCATAGAGCATCATCCGGAGTGATGCGGGCCTTCTTGAGTTCCCGACGAAGATCAGGGTCTTCTTCATATTCATTGACCTCTCCGACGGGTGGCGCCGAATGTGTGGGCATTGCTGTGGATGTAGAGCTCGGAGCACTTGATGAAGGCTCAGGTTCTCCAGTGCGAGCGACCTTGGCCTTGGGCATCGGAACAGGTCGGATGTTCAAGGCACCCTTGGTCTTCATGCGATGAGTGGGCTTGATGATCGTGGATTTGTCGGGTTCGGGTGGTAAGTCAGGAAGTTCAAGCTCATCCGATTTGGGAGCTTGGTCGATCATGTCCACGAACTCACGTTTTGGTAGTACATCAGCGAGGGATCGCCATCGAGAGGGATCCTCTGCACCACCAATCTCGAAGACCAGGCGCTCCTTGTCGGTGACCAATCGCACACTATGTGGGGAGCATCGCATCAGCTGAGTGCCAATGAGGACCCAGACCACATGACGACGGTCATCATCTGCTTGCTGATGAGGTAGGACCTCATGGAAGATCACACGCCCAGGGCCGATCCAATGGGGCTTGCCGGACTTTTTGAGGCCTTGACGTGCTCCTCGATGAAGTTCAGCAGGCCAGACTCTTCTCCAAACCTTGACCAGGTCCATGGGTTGGAAGGTGCGTAGAGGTTGTCGCACTGTTGTGTTGACCAGCTTGGAGAGAACGCGCTTTGCACGTGTTGACCGGGCAATATCCTCCGCCTTTTGACGGGCTTGCACGAGCTGCTCGAATTCACGGTGCCGTTGATCTTGAGGAAGCTGTTCGAAGGTGCGTATGTCCTCCTCCGTGATGTTGTAGGCCTTGCCGTAGCACCACTGGAAGGAGCTGAAACCGCGTGTGTACTCGGTGGAGTTGAGAGCTGCCGCAGCCAAGTAGAGCGTGATCTCCGGGTTCTGCTCTGGACTGGACGTCTGGATGGCTGTGGCCGTCATCTTGACATCTTGGATTGCGGCTTCGACAATGCCATGTGCCCAGCTTTCCTTCTCCGGGGGAAAGGCTAGTTGAACACCGACAGAGTTGCAGAAGTCGTGCATGGACTTGGCCGTCATGGTTTTGCCGCAATCAGGGATCAGCACCTCAGGACGAGGTTTGTCGGAGAGCCAACGTTCGGAGAAGGCCTTGATGAGCATCTCGGCATTCTCCGCTTTCATCTCGAGGAAGTTGTACTGCATGAGCGGGCAGACTACTCGCAGCTTAGTGGCCAGGTCGATGAACAGGGCAAACTTGACCTTGCGAGGTACTCCGGGAACATCCCACTCGCTGACATCCAGACCGACTGCCTGCCAAGCTTGGTATAGAGGATAGGTTGCCGCTGGAGGGACTTGTCCACTACTGAGTCCGCCAGGCCGAAGTGCCTCACATGCACTGCATTTGAACTCCTTGGCCTTGTCTATGCGCCATCGTGGATGTCCGGCTTCTTGAAGGAGACGAACCAGGTTGGAGTTCGTAGGGTGTCCAGCAGCCTTGTGGAAGTGAGCTAGCTTGGCTTCCCACCGCTGCACTTCTTCAGGACTGGGTGCATCCGGTGGAGGGTGTGGATTTGCTGGAGGATCTGGTTGTGGCTCATCGAGTGGAGGTGCATGAGGTTCGGGTCTTGCTGGAGCTTGGCCAGGATCGGATGGTGGATGTGCTGGTAGATCATGAGGATCACCATCTTCTTGAGCTGCAAGTTCCAGTGCCAAGTGAGCACCATGGTTCTCATTCTTGGAGTGAGCCCAGCGATGGAAGCGAGGTGGTAGGAGCTGATCGCGCCAGCATCTGGCTATTGCCAAAACCATCCGCCAGGGATAGTAGGCTGACCTTGAGGTTTCGATTCCTTGGATGTAGGTGTGCTGGTGGTTCTTGGGGCATACCTTGGCGTGAAAGTGGCGGTGGAAGTCGCAATCGTGGCCAAACCAGTGGCCAAATCGACTACCATACCAACACCATCAGAACCTGCGTGGCTCATGCCAACCAGAATCGGGACAAGCATGTCGGTGGTGAACCATTGCTCGAAGAACTCGGGGGGGTTCGGAAGAGCATACACATGAAAGACTCGGGGGTGGCCAGATAGATCTGATTGGAGGGTCACCCGGTACTGTGCTCGACCCCACCGACCACTCCCGTAGCGAAAGTATGGACGCTGATTGGGGTCCACAGTCACCGTGGCGGACTTGTCCTGCCGCAAAACTGCCTCAATGAGACGCTGTACTGAGGCTTCAGGGCCAGCACTTGCGGTGGCGCCACAATCCAACATGCCTTGATGTGGAGCTACCTTTCCAGGGCTAACTGATGAGAGCTCCAAGGGATTGTGGGGTCCTTCGTGCATTTCCAAGCCATTGATGCCGTACATGTCCTGGACGTAGGCGTTAACAGTTGGGCGTTGATCACTCTTGCCCTTGCCCTTGGAGATCCAGGAGAGATCATGTTCGGCCCATGCGGCTGACTTGGAGCGCCCCTTCCAGCCCTTGCCTTTCTTGCCAGACTTGCCGGTGAAGAAGTGCTCGTTGTAGGGATCCGCAAGCATGAAGGCATGTTTGCCCTTACCCTTGGAAGGATGTCGGCGATCTGGGCAATCTCGAGCATAGTGACGGCCACCACAGAGAAAGCAGCCGCTGCCCTTGCCGCCGGAACTCTTGCTCTTGCCAGAGTTACTGAACGATGCGCCGAAACCGCGGTCCTTGCGAACCAGTTGAGTTGCACGTTGAGCTTCGGTCCAGGTGCGTTGAGCATCCATGGCCATTTGTTCGGCTGCGCGTTCGGCTTGCATGGCATCCCGGAGTTTATCTTGCTCCTCGGCTGAAAGGGCTTCATCAGGAAGTTCTGGAACTGCGGGAGAAGACCATGATTCAGGATCTTCTTCCCAACCAGACTGGGCCCAGGCATTATCAAACCAACTCTCATCAGAAGGGTCCCAGGGTTCCCAATCTTGATCCCACGCGTCCTGGTAATTGAGGTCGGCCTCGTGGTAGTTCAGGTGCTGAGGAGGCCGTTGACGATTTCCAAGAAGTTGTTCATCCCAAAGCATCTGAAGAGCTTGGCTGATGGCCTCGTACTCCAGGGAGTTACGGGTTGTGCTTAGGATGTCACGCTTGTCCTCCGGACTGAGGGAAGCTGCCTGAAGAAGACGCCAGCCACGAAGAACACCCATGATGAAGCTGTCCGCCATGGAGAGCTCTGTGATGGTTCCCGGTGTGCCAGGGGTATCTGTCACACGCTGTGCTGGAGGGGAACCCACTTGTGCATCAGGGCTAGGCTCCTGGCTGGGAGCAGATCCAGGTGCGGCAGTTCCTGAGATACCGGACACGTCTCCAGGTGCGTCGGGAGCTTGTTCTCCTTCGGAAGGGGGGTTCTCTTCGGTGACGGGCTGATAGTCCCAATCTGACCAGGACTCGCCCCATTCATCCCAACCAGAATCCATGTTCTTGGGGAGGCCAAAGTCCTTGCGGCTTTGGTCAACACCGGAAGACTCCTCGTGAAGGCGAAGGAGAGCCTCCACAAACTCCTCATAGCCGAGAGTCTCCCTCACCAGGAAGTTGCCGATGCCCTCGCCGGGGTTCCTCTTAAAGGAGAAGTACTGCTGCATGATCGCTGCGGCATTCGGTAACGACTTCCTGACGAGGGGTGAGGCCGCCAGTCGTTGAAGCAGTTGAAGTACTCCATCGGCATGATCAAAGTCGGCCCTTGACCATGACATGGCTAGGAGCCTTGCGGGGCCCCGAAGTCGGCCTATGAGCTTTGCCGCCAGGTACCTGCGCTTGTGGGCTAGTATTGACTGTGCGCACCAGGCCACTTCCTTGTAGTACCTGCGCCATGATCGTGCCTGACCATCCCAGGATGGAAGATGGTCAGACCTGAATTCATTGTCCATGACTACTTCGCCGTCCGGGAACGTGCCAATCTTGAAGTCCTGAGCGATGATCTTTTCCTGGGTCGTTCCAAAGGGCTCGACGCAGTCAAAGATCAGAGTCTCTTAGAGATTTAGGCTCAAGGCGATCAAGTAGCTGTGCACACGTTCCTGAACGTTCTTGGTGCACTTGATCGGGCTCTGCAGGAAGCACTGAATCGTTGCCTCCTGCTCCGCTACCAATGCAGCGGGAGTAGCGCGGGGAGCGAATGGCGCCAAGCCTTGTTTCTTCTCAAGCCGCCTGTGCAGCTGACTAGGGGGTCGTGGCCAATTGTCTGGCTCGGCTACAAGCAAAAGGGCCCTTCAGCTGCGGAAGGGACATGTCTGCAGTCTGGACAATCTACATGCATGGCATCAACTGATGAGCCTCTAAATGCCCGTGTTGCAGAATCCTAACTTCTGAACCCGGCCGGCAATGGTTCATGTGGGTGTTTTGTTTTAGGGTACCCGTTTTCAGGTTGGCGTCCAGGGAAACCACCAAGGAAATGATTTTCCGGGTCCCTCCCCCATTTGGGCGACTACTTCCTCCTCTGAGGCGCAGCGCCGAGTTTCCAGGGAGAGTTCCGTGGAGCCCTCGGAGCTCGAGGTGGTGCTCAGCTCGTCCTCTTCAAAGGCCTCGAAGAAAAAGACTCTCCGACTCCGACTCGAGATATTTTCGCCGCGTGCTTCGCAGGAAGTCGAGTCGGAGTGCGTGCCTCCCCCTCTGCCCAAACCAAAAAAAGACTCCGACTCGAGCGAAAGCGAGTCGGAATGCGTCGGAAAACACGTCGAGTCGGAAGTTCGGACGCGAAAGCGCCGCGTGCGTCGCGTCGGAAGCCGTAGAATTGGACCGTCGATTTGGAGAAAGCCCGGCCGGTGGATGAAACAGTACAAAAGGGAACCAGAAGCCAGAGCTCACTTCTGATTGGCACAAAAAGCGTGTTCACCAACCTTTGGTGCCACGGTGGTCTTCCCAAACGTAAAGTTTCACAGGAGCGAGAAACCAAATCAGGCGCTTGAATCGGGAAAGTGTTGATGAGGCCCACCCACAACAAGCAACGAACACGGGGGTCATGGAGCCCCTTGGGTGAAGCAATGAGGCAGCCATCCTGCACAAGCAAGCAGACGGAAAATGTATGTACGAAACCGTTCAATCCAAGCCGTCATCGTGCCACTTCATAAAACTAAAACCATTGCAACAAAACACAAAAATCTAAACTTCTACCTGATTGAATCAATATGAGGTGTCAGGCACATTTTGGAGAGGATACGCAAGAGAGTAATCGGGACAACAGACGTCTCAACAGGGCCTTATCAGGGGCTTATCCTTGGCTTATAGTAGAAACGTGCTTCGGGTGAACGGTACCCCTGTGTCACATGAATCTCCATGCTCTTTGTTAGGTACGCATATGCATTTTTGACATTTGTTTCTACCTTGTTCATTGCCGGAGCACAGTGTCCCCACTCTCGTGCCCCAAACCTAAATCTGTCCCGTGAGGCTGGGAGATACCAAACTAGGGAGTGAAGCCTGGCGAATGCTTTCGCAGCAAACTGGACAGAGGACGGATATGCTTTCTGAAGGAGCATGCTCGCCAGGCACAAGCCAACATCCGTCTCCTCCAAACTGCTGCGAAACGAAAGCTTCAACGCATGTGGAGCTCTTTTAACAGGGATCCTTACATTATACACCTGAACATTGCCTTGTAATTAAATGGTGGTTTCTCTTGATTTTGGTGGAAAATGGGCAAAATGTATTTTTTAAGGAGCCCTGTTGAATCAGCTTCCCTCCAATCGCGTGGGGGGTGGCTTCCCAATGGGCTCCAATCACAAATGGCGCATGGCCCTCCCCAATCGGTAGCTTGGAGGTTTCGGATGGCTTCCCAATTGAAAATTCCCATGCACCCAGTTGAATCCAAACCACCCCGTTGAGGGCAACCTGAATTCAAGTCATCTTCCCGCAGTTCCCTAAACAAATCTTAAAAGACGGGGTATGCGAGGAGCAAATCTGAACCCAATGACTGCTTTTGCCTGGAAGTCCCCACAACTTTGTACTGTGCTGCAAGTTCAACACAAAACGGGATCCCCCGCCTAAGAAAAACAAAAATAAAAAAGAGACTCCTCTAACCATGGCTAGTGTTGCTGGGTTCCATGCTATACTGTCCGGACTTCCTGCACTTGCAAATTGCAGAACGCATCGGAAACCAAGCCCTACCCCATTGAAACCCTAACATGTAAATCCGGGTACCTGGCAAATCCCGTTCCACACGATGAAGTAGTCTTGTTAGGATGTGGGTCTGAAAAAAATATTCGAACGGACCCATCCAACAGGTTGGCGTTCATTAAAAACCGGCCCACCTCTGAAAACCAACCCAAAAGGGGGCTCCCAGTTTTAAGATGCACCCGCGAGTCACGATAAACGTATCTCTCAGCATGGGAAGTGGTAGCCTCAACTTGCTAGTGAAAGTGTGGCGAGCAGACTGAAAAACAACAAATCCATGTCTCTCTCGTTGGTGAGGGCAGCTTCCATTTGCCCTCTCAAGCACCACCAATTAAGGGTCACCTGAGCCAACCGGTGTATCTTTCTTAGTGAAAGGGAAACCAAAAGCAAACCACCCATTTTGGGCGTTCCGACTTCTGTTTCAAGACAATCGTGGCAACTACAAAGCGTCATGCAAAAGATGTCAGTCTAGCGCACCAAATTTCAGGCGACCCTAAGCCGTGCCCGGACTTCACTAGAAAGGGCTGTTGCCCTTAGCAGGCCCCCTCAAAAACAACCCCAAAAAAGGTACCCTCAAAAGAACAAGACAAATTCCAAGCCGTGACGCAATGTGGGGATCTAAGAAGCCTACACTTCCCTCTCGGAGGGTTTCTGGCAGATCAATTTCGGCTGGAAGTGACCCCCTGTCAAGCGCCACAAACTGCGTTTGTCTCCAAAATGGGGGCACCTCGAATATGTCTTGACCTCCCTTTAAACATCCCTCGTCTCCCTCAAATGGGCCAACCCAGTCTCATCGCGCGCACCTCGTCGTTGATGCCCCGAGGAGGGTCATTCAGAAGCAGCACGGTGAAAGCGATGGCGATTCCGGGGAAGCCTTGGGCCGGGCCTTTGGCTTGAAACGTGCTTCTTCCATCGAAAAGGCAGGTGCTTCGAGAAGCCCGACACAAAAAGGAACAGATTCAGAAACATATTTCATGGGGGCTGTGGGGGAGGGGGAGGGAGCCCACATAAGCCCTTAATAAGGCTTAATAAGGGCTTAATAAGGGCTCCCCCCCTCCTCCCCCCCCAGCCATCATGAATGTTGTCCTACATTGCTTCGAGAATGGCTTCTTTTGAGGGGCATCTGTCGCAAAAACACCTGGGGAAAACCAGCCGAGCACAGCATCTTTTAGCGCGCCCTTTTTTTTGCTGCCAGGAAGCCGCACACGAAGAAGGCGCAGCGCCAGCCAAGTTGCGAACCCATACCTCATTGACCCAAAGCGCAGAGCTTTCGGTGTGCTTTTTTGCTATGCCTTTGACTGATGGATGCCCAGCATGAACCTGGTGTTTATTGAGGAAAATCAACAGGATGGTTCATTTCATGTTGACCAAGAATCAACCAACCGCTGGTTGACAAACAGGCAGCCTTTGAGGGAACTTGCTTCAGTTTCTGGGGAACCACCCTCTCTCAATCCGACTTGTATCTTCATCCATGCCAACATCGCAGGTGTCACGGCAACATGTTTTTTTTGTCCTGGTGTTTCTTGTCTGTTCTTTAAACAAAACACTTTTGTCAGAACCCCCAAAAACTGCTAGAAACGTGTTCATAAGGCAAAGTGTCAGATGTGGAAGTGGGACCCTTAAGAAAAGAAACCACCTCCTTTGTCACCCACCGAAAGTGAAGCTTTTCAGCGTCTCGGACTCCGGCCGCAGTAAAGCGGTACAAAGGGGGGCCTAACATAGTCCAAGCATCCATCAAACAGGAAGAGTGGACATGTTTCAAGCCAACTGTTCAGGGAAAGCCAAAGGGAAGACTGCCACTTGGGTCGGGAGGTCTCCGAAAGCCAGGGATTGGGGCACGCCGTGGAACCCCCCAGAACTGCAGGCAGCAGTGGAGAAGCAATGCCCAATGCTGTTCAAGGACCCTTTGGGAAGGGTTGTCTGCAGAATTTCCCCAACGAGTCCTCCGCACGCCTTCTGAAATGGAAATGGGACAACCCCATGTGATACCCATATGAATCAACCAACAGTGTGTTCATCCGGAACCAACATGATCAGAGATCAGGTTGTTGTTCAAACCAGATCGCCTTTGTTTCAAAGAAATCCTGGTTGAAACTTCCTTGGGGTCACTCTCCTTGTCCTCAGTGCTGAACAACAAGGCCCACACCTGGCAACCAAGACAGTTCGACCGAAACAGCCAACTACAACTCATACCGGAAGAAAATACATAGGTAACAGCAAGCCAGGCACTGACCAGTGTTAAAGCATGTGTTTAACCAACAAGACCCAAGGGAAACCAAACTTCCGTGGTCAGGGTCCCAGCTTCAAATCTGCATCTGGGAGCAACTGAGAAGGAAATCATGCGGACATCCGAGGCGCAAACCTCGTACGCCCAAACACGCCGTGTGAATCAACAAAAAGGGAGGGCGACCCCTGCCTGTCGAACCAGCCGTTTGGGATGCCCCGTTTAGGGTTGTCGACCATTTTCCCATTAAAGCATTACCCAACTTCTTTTAACTTCGAAGGAGGTAAGAGGGGAAGTATAGGTCTCCTTGTTGAACAATGAACGGGTATCCCTGCGAAATGGGGCACAAAACCGTTACCTAAACCCATCAATGTCTAATTGAAAAGGACACCTTAAGGCGGTACAGGGTCCACCCACCACTCCATCCAGCTCCAACCCATCCATCCTTAAAAGGGTCCATGACCCCATTCTTTTCGGCAATGACCAACCATTTTTAAAGGGTCACGGAGACTCCAAGGGACGCCTCCCATGCGCCACCCACTCGCCATCCACTCTGGAAAAGGCGCAGGACCCGATGCCGAAGCCGATGGCCGCGCCCAGCGGGGCGCTCAGCCCGAAGAAGGTGTAGGCGCGGTTGCGCTGAGGGCCCGGGTAGAAGTCCTGAAGGTTGGTCGGTGGGTTTTGGGGTGCCGACTACCCGCACAATCCGTGGGCTTTAATATTTTATTGTTTTACATGAGGCCGCAAACAAAAAGTTTTTTTTGGGGGGGGCGCCGCTTTTTTTTTGCGGGGCTTTCTCCTATGTGCGGTGTCGTTTTTTTTTTGCGTCTGTTTGCGGGTTGTTTGGCGGTTTGTGCTAAAATGTGTTGGTGTTTCCTTTGGTTTTACATGAAACCGCAAAAAAGGGGGTGGTTTGGTCGGCGTCTTGTTGTGGGGGCCCGTTGCAAATCCGTTGGTTTGTCTTTGGGCTCTCCAAAATGAAACCTTTTAAGAAAAGGGGGTACCCGGACCCTCAAAAGTCAGACACACCTTGTGAATTTATTTTAGATGGAGTGTTTCCATATAGGAGTATTCCTTTCTATTTTCGCCCCAGCCCGAAAAAGGCGAAACAGTGCAACAATTCCGAGGCGCCGCGAGCATGGGGGAGGCCACGGTGGCGAAGGCGGCCTCGCCCACGCCCACCAGGGCACGGAAGAGGATCAGCTGCTGCAAGTTCCTGGGGGCTTCCAGCTATGCACCTACCCCAAATCGTACCCCTGGCCATGGGTCAAAGGCCAAAATTCTGTACCCCCAGTGAACGGGACCCAATCCAACCACTAAAAAAGGTTCTAAAATAGGTGGTGAAGTCACCTACCCCAAAATGGGATCTGTAAATGCCCAAGGGGGAGACCACCACGCAGCACGGTCGCCCTGTTTCCACCATTGCCAAAAGTTGGACTAAAGCCTTGAGTCAAAAGGGCACGGCGCGTCAAACATTGACATTCCCAGCATTCTATGTGCCCTTTGGACAGAATGGAAGCTGGACCCCATGTACATGGCTCCACCACTCAGTAGATTTCTTGACCTTCGTGAGCAGCTCGGCGAGTTGATAGGTCGTGGGGATCCATCTCATAGTCGTGGTCCAGCAGAGCTCCTTGCCCCACCGTGCAAACTCCCCATCCAGCAACTGTCGTAGAGCCGAGAGGTCGATCAGCAACCGCTTTTCCGAAGGGGCTTTGGGACTCCCTTCGCGTTTGATCGCGTCATAGAGCGATCGGCAGTCTGTCAGCGGGACTATGGGGATGATGTCCCGGCACGACCCTTCGTCGAGTCCACCTCGTCGAAGAGCACCTGCAAGGCTTGCCCGGAACGCCATAGCGTCCTCGATGCCTTCCAGAGCTGCCATCGTTTCCGCCGCAAACGTGCTCCTGCAGACCCGAGGGCATGCATGAGACTTCCACTCGCAGATCACCGCCTTGCTCTTCTCACCCTCCAGGACGTTCCGGTGCGCCATCACCAGCACATGCCCCAGTTGTGAGTAGACGCCCTGGTCAACGATGCCCTTGTTGATGTCAAAGTCCGCCTCCTTGCCGTGGGCCTTGTAGAAGTCCTCCATGCGCTCCTCCGGAACGTTTGCCCAAGCCGCGTCGTGGAAGACCAGCAGAACCATATCGCTCCATTTGCCACTGCCGATCTTCTGGTACTTCAACACCTCGCCCTTGCACTCCTGCGCCAGCTTGACGATCTTGTTAGTCTCCTTGACGTCGCCGTAGGTTGGTGCCCGCTGCTTCCTCTGAGCCATCGACACCCCCGTCTGCAGGTCCGGTCGGGTCTGAGATGCCAACCACGAGAGCCCCCCGACCACCGACTGGTTGTCCATCTTGGTCACCTCGTCTGCAAGTTCCTCCGCGTCGTACTCCTTGGGCATCTCCGTAGTTTCCAGCCTCGACTTCACGTAGCTGCATTGACCCAATTCGATGACGCCGTCCCCCTGCTTGATCTGGGACCCGATATACTCGAACTCCTTGTCCTCCCACTCCGCAATGGGGAAGATCCCAGACAGGTTCTTCTTGAGCTGGACCAGCTCTTGGGGGGCCGCCGCGATCAGGATATCGTCCACGTGTGTAACCAACGCTCCCCGTAGGACACCTTCTGCATTCCGCAACAGAAAGAAGCAGCTATCCAAAGGGTGCTGCTCCAACTTCAGCGTCTCGCTGTTAATCACGAAGTCCAGTGCCAGGAGCTCCTTCGCCAGCCGTTTCCACCAAAGCCGTGGTGAGTTCGCCAGGCCGAAGATGCCCTTCACCACCTCTACCAACTGGTTCGGCTCCATCTCAGGTAACCCACGTACTGGTTGTCGCATGTAGAGACCTCGTCGGGACTCCTCGCCGTTGAGAAAGGCCGCCTGCACGTCTCCCGCTGCTAACTCCCAGTCCTCCTGTGCCGCGATCAGCAATAACGTAGACAGCGAGGTCTTGCTCACTGTCGGTGCCTCCGTCTCCATTCCTCCGCCAGTAAGATCAGGGTCGCGATGGCCAGCAATGCATAGCCTCGCCTTTGGTTTGGGAGGAACAGCAGGGTCCTCGCGTCGTTTCGCCACGTTCTTGTCCCTGTAGGCAAACCGGGAGTTCAGGATCCTCGACGGGTGAACCTTATTCACCACCTCCTCACTCTCCTGGGCCGAGAGGATCCGCACCGCGCCATACTTGACGTGCTCGTCCCATTGTTTCTTCTCCGCAGCAACGTACAACTCCTTCTCGGCGGCCGGGATGTCGTTCCAAGCCACCTCCTTGTCACGCTGCCTCGCAATAGTCTTGGGGGTACGCTTGTGCGTCGTCCACATCGCCTCGTCCACATCCTGGATGTCGTCGCCCTCCGACCTGTCCACATAGGCGTTGACGAGGTCCATCCCCGTAATCTCCTCATCTGGCGGAGCCACACTCGGTGAGTACTCGTCCTCCCCGTCGCGCAGGTCGTCCTCGACAGCGTGAGGCACCGGCCCCTTTTGACGCATCCTCCTCCGGGGCACGCCATCCGGCCATTGCCGCTTCTGCTTCCTGTAGGCCTCCGCATCCCCGTCCTCCATGAGGTTGCTCGCATCGTGGAAGATCTCCTCGTCGTCCACTCCGTCATCGTCGATTCGTTCCAAAAGCTGCCGTAGGTCCTTCTGCATGGACTGCACCTGGAAGAGCGTGCCCAACTCACTTGACTCCGCTGGTCGTAGATGCTCTTGGGCACAAAGCAAACATCGTCCACCACGGGATACCCATACTGAACCGCCCTCGGCCCCCACCACCGTGCCTGGGCCGATCCATTGTCCTGCACCTTGTCGTTGGCTGCCAGCACCGCCCGGAGTCTTCTTGACCCTGTAGATGTAGACAATGTCCCCGGTCTGGTACTCGTTCTTCTTCACGCGTGGCCGTCCCAAAGCCGCCCGACGCACCGCCTCCGTCGCCTGACTCTCGAAGAAAGCCATTCTTGCTGCTCGTTGGATAGCCATCTTCCTGCTCCATGCACCGCCCGCAGTGTCTGCTGGTAGTAGTTCTTGTCCTCCGTCTGCGAGTCCGTCCTCCATGCGAGGTTGTACTCCAAGTACCCATTGTGCCGGGGAGTACCCGTGCCGCCGCCGAAGGTTGTTCTTGGCCTGCACCACCTGAAGCAACGCCCATTCCGCCTCCTGGAAGTTGATGTTTTCGTGTTCCACCACCTTCTCCCACATCGTACGCAGCCAACCTTGCTGTCGCTCAAGTTGTCCAAGCTGCCAATGGGCCTGTCCTGCAATGTACTTCACGTGGATCCCGCGGTTTTCCATCTCGTCAACAAAGTTCTTCTGAAATCCCCGCTCCTGGTCACAGACCATCCGCTTAGGCATGCCGGCCCACTCCAACCAAAGTTGACGAACAGACTCTGCAAGATCCTCGGAGAGCTTGCTCTGGATTTTCCGGCAAACGTGGTAGCCCGAGGCCAAATCCATGACCGACAGGATAGAGTGTTTAACCTTGCCTTGGTCATAGAGGTAAAAGAGGTCGACCGCCACCTCGTCATTGAAGTCCATAGGCAGCACAGTCTTCGCGGGTCGTTGTGTCCCCGGTCGCCTCAACCTCTGGCACGTGTCACACCTTAGCCCCTGCGCACCCTTGATGGCCTCCTCCGTCGCACCACATAGCCGTAGATGTCGCGTCAAGTCCTTGTTGCTGGGGTGTCCAAGGTTCTGGTGGATCCGCCGGAGCGCCGAAGCAGTAGCGGCCGAAGTAGCCTTCGGGAGCTTGATGCCGGAAGCCCCCACCAAGTCATCCTCCGGTTGTTGATCTCCACCAACGTCCTCCTCCTCTGCGTCCGCCACATAGGCCGTCACGTAGGAGCTGTCCACTTTGCATGTTGCCTCTACCACCGCCCGTGCAAAACTCCAGGTATAACATGCTGAAGGTGCCGTATTCGCCCCTGCTGTCTGGCCATGGTCATGTCGTTTGTCGCATCTCCTGGCCAGTTCGTGGTGGTAGATCTCAGAGCTGACCAAAAGTTTGGTCGGCTTCTTCAGGAGCTTGCCATCGGACTTGCCCTTCAGGCCGTAGGCGCACATGTCGAGGTTGCACTCCAGGAGATGGTAGTCCTTGATGATAGACGTCATCCTAGGGGTATGCCACAGTTCACTCTGGGCGGGATTCTCGATGATGATGTGCCTACCACCACTCCGCTGCAACCGCGCACACTCCTCCGCGAACTCCTGGAACATCCGCTCACGTTGTCGGAGTCGCCGAAGTTGGTTCGCCCTGCCGTAGTAGTTGATCCTCGTCCAAGGACTCCATAAGGTGCAGGGGTGCCAACCAAACCAGCTTCGGCTTAAACTTCCGGATGTCCTCAAGGATATTCTCCCTGACCTCCTTGATGCGGATGTCGTGGCCGAGTAGAAGATCACGCGGTTCCATAACGTCGTACCCCTTCGCCGCGAAGGCCTGCGTGATGTGGTTCTTACCGGCAAAGACCTCCAGCACGTAGGGTTGTCCCTCCTCCTCAAACCTCGGGAGCACTGTCGCGTTGTACAGGTCCTTGATCGGCTCGACCACCGCCTCGTTAGCCTCCACCATGACGGGCCCAGCCAGTGCCACTGCCGTACTCAAAAATGCCTGCCACACCTTCCGCGTCCAACTGCCGATCATCTTCCGCGTGGAGTTCTTGACCTTCCGTCCCCGGCGTGAGTTGATCCTGTGCTCAATGTCATCGTCATAGTCCAGGTTGTCCTCGTTCACCGTGAGGTCGCCGCTGCTCTCCCGGGGCTCCCCGATCTTCTCAAACTTCGCTACTGCCTTCTGCTTGGCTCGCCCTTCTCTCACTGCCCAGTAGCGTCTGCGCTTCCACTGCGACCGGGAGGATCCAGCCGTTGCTTCTGTCGGAGGATTGCCAACTGTGTCTCCAACTCCAGGATCTTCTTGTTGGCGTCCGCATCCGTCTCCGAGTCCATGGGATCCGCCTGCAGCCAGGACCCGTCCGAGTCGCTCGTCGCGGGCGTGGCCCTCTTCGCAGTCGTAGTAGACGTCATCGCCTTCTTGCGAATCGTCGGCTTGAAGTCCATCGTGCTCTTGGGGGGCGCCACCACCGCCGCTTCCTCCGGGTCGATGACTTCCTCCTCGAGAGCCTCCAATTCCATCCACCGCTTTGCCCACGTTGCAAACCGTACCAGTGCCGCCGCCGGGGTCTCGTTCTTGGATACCTCCTCCACCGCCCAGAGCCGGTAGTCCATCGGGATCGCCTCGTAGGTCTTCCCCTTGTAGCGTCCGAAGGAGATCTCTTCCTTGCTGTGGCCGCCCTCCGCATAGCGTAGAGCTTGGATGAGGCATCCCTTGTTGGCCGTTGCCGGAACTCGGAGTTTCTTCTTGTTGCACATCTCCCGCAGCTCGCCCACCGTGAACCGCGTGTAGCCCTTGGCCAGCTCCTCCGTTTTGGTCATATGCTTCTTGAGGATCTCCTGCAACTCCGGCACCGTTGCCTTCTGGTCGTAGTCGATGAGCAAATCGTCCAACTTCTCCACGAGCTCGGCCCTCTTCATCTTCCATGGCTTCAGCTCGGGCATATAGCGAATTGGGGGGCGGTCCACCGCCAGTTCCGTCCTTCTCTCGGATAGCTCGAGGGATCAGGCTTCGGCCGATCCACAACTCATCAACCCTGCACAACTCATTGCGTGTCCAATCGTGGGTCTGGTGAGTCCACTCGCATGTCCGGCAGGATATCATGACCGCTTCGCACTGGCTCCCCAACGATTCCAGCAGCATTTGTTTCAACTCAACATTGGTGGTCTGCCAAGCACCAGGGGAAAAAGGCCTCCTCCGTGGTACCATGTGAATCCGCACAAAATGGGTGTCGGTTTCAATCCAGAAGTCTTTGGAAATGCTGCTCCCCGACCACCAAGCCCAAAACCAGTCAACATCCAGTAGGGGGGCCACCAATTTGTCCTTGTGAGCCTGCTCAACCTTCTTGGGGTAGAATATGTGGTTGACCCTCATATCGTTCCCCGCTCCCCCATGCACCATGTAGCACGATCGGGCTGGTCGGTGAACATCACACTCCACCACCGACCAATCCACGGCCTCCGGCCAGGATGGCCAGCAAATGCCACCTCCGGTGACAACTACCATGGGGTGCCCCGTCTCGGTCTGGCCAAGCTTGTAGCCCGCAACGCCGAGCTCACTGAAGTCCGCCACGTGCTTGCTGATGTCATAGCACATGCCGAGGCCCGCCAAAACATTCCTGCTCAACAGCAACGGCAGGACACACTGGACCTCCGCGATCTTCAGGATAAAGGGTGCTCCATTGATCTGCAGCCAAACCACCAGGGCACGCTCAGAACGAAAAATGTCCGGCCCACCAAACTTGAAGTTCTCCTCCTGTGCCATGAAGAAGTACGGGATGTTGTTTTCCTTCGCCTTCCGCACCATCCGCCGGATCCACGGTCGCCCCGCAACCGTCCTGCTACACGCGCAATCAGTGATGCCGTAGAGCTCGGTCTCCGTCGTGCTGTCAGTCATGTAGGCGACGTGGCAGAACTTCACCTGGTGTGCGTCCCGCTTGTCACCCTGCGGGTTCTTCTGGTTGAGGGGGCACTCCGGGTCCTTGTGCCAGTGCCCCTTCTTCTTGCACGCGGAGCAGTAGGACCTCGCCTTGGCCGCCTTGATGCGCTCCTCCTGGTTCGCCTTCGGATTAATGCCCCTCGCGTTCATGATGGTGCGGTACTTGGACTTCGCGTTCTGGTAGGTCACATATGCCTCCTCCGCCTCTTCATCGATGCCCTCCACGTCCATGTCCAGCTCCGACTCCTCGTCCTCGGACTGTCCCTCCCCCAGCTCCTCGGTCACATAGGCCTGCTGACCCTTCTTGTTCTGGTCGTACTTATCGTTGTTCCGTCCCCGATGAGATTCCCAAAGTCGACGGTTCATCCTGTCCTGGATGATGGCCGCGTCCTGGAGCTTGTAGAGGTTGTAGTCGTTGCCCGTGGATGAGAGGAGGTTGAGCTCGGTCGCATTGTCGAGGCGAAGTTTATCCATATACCACCAAGCCAGGCAGACGTCAGGCAAAGCGCAACCCACCTCCTTCAGCCTGGCGGCCTGTCGGTCAAACTCCTGGTTGAACTCCTTCACGTCCTGGTTGTTGTGCTTCTTAAGGTTCTTGAAGAAGTCCGTCATGTACTTGCCCACCTTGATCACCTCGCGGTCCAAGTAGCGATTGCGGATCCAGTCGATGAAGTAGTCCATGCCAGAGTCCCCGTCCAGCCATTCCACATCGAGCTCCTCCGCGTCACGCCATGCCCGTCCCGTGAGGTGGTTGTACAACATCAAGGCCTGCTTGTAGCTCTTGATCTTCGTGACCCGCCGCCAAGCCTCGATCTTCCGGAGATAGCCCCTTGCCTTCACACCGTCCCTGTCGTCCTCTGCCGAAAACTCCGGGACCAGGATCTTGTCCGCGCCGCCGCCGCGATCGCGATCTTCCTCCCACGACCAAGCACTGCTTTCTCGCCGAGAACCAGGTTGCCCTCGTAGTTCCCAGCGTAGTCGTTCTTGTTCATACCACCCATGCCACTCCGCAGCAGTCCACTGATCCGCCCACGACACAGACCGCGCTGAGCCCCCGTTGACTGACCCATTCAGTACATCCTCAGCAGCCTCCTGTGGCTCGGGCCCCCTGTCCTCACCGAACTCCTCGAAGTCCATGGAGTTGCCGTCACCGCAGCACCAAGCCCGAAAAGGGGGCACAGATCACACCCTCAAGGTTCACCACCAAGCCGTAGGCGAGCAGCAGAACGTCCGGACCGACAACCAGTGCCACCGTAGTTGTTCAGCTCCGCTACCAATGTAAATGCCCAAGGGGGAGACCACCACGCAGCACGGTCGCCCTGTTTCCACCATTGCCAAAAGTTGGACTAAAGCCTTGAGTCAAAAGGGCACGGCGCGTCAAACATTGACAGGATCCCATTGGTTTTGACCCACTGCCAATTCGGTCCGGCCCGCTAGAGCGCAAGC